GTGCCCGGGCCTGCCATCGAGGTTGGAACGAGAACTTAAACAGCTCTACTCAGAACGAGTTTTAAAGGGACATGTGGAAAAACTTTCTAAACGTAAGATCCGCACTGAAGACCCCCACCTCCCCGCAGGAAGCACTTGGTGTTCCTGGGTGGTGCTGTTCTAGCAGATATCACGAAAGACAAAGACAACTTTTGGATGACCCGACGAGGGTACCAAGAAAAGGGCATCCACATGCTGCAGAAACTTGGTGTGACTGATCGAGGGACTCCAAAGCTTATTCCCGTCATGCCCCTGACACTTTCTTTTTTCCTTCATTGCCGATCTTTGAACTCATTCAACTCCAGGACAGGGAGGAGGACTCTCTGTGCCCTTTGGCTGCGAAGGTCAAGTTTTATTCTGGTGTCTTGGGGAAGCTTTGTTAAATTCTTGTTCATGTGGGTAAATCTGACTGTTTAATTCAACCACTCTCCTACAAACACAGCAAGAGGGCAAAGGGTCCTGTCTGCTGCTTTGTTTCTTCTAAGCAGGCGGTTAGATCATTCCCGTAGGCTTCCTATTTCCACTTTACTGCTCTAATGCTGCTAGTTTTGGTCTTCAGCTCACTAGGTGGTATGCCTTTATTAGCATAAGAAAAAAGCTTTACCAGGAGCTTTTACATATGACTGGGGAGGGGGTGGTTAGGGATCGTGGGCAGCCTCTGAACCCTTTAGGGCATTTCCTCCGTAGGGTGGCACTTTCCACAGTTACCGCTGCAGCTTCAAGTACCTTAAAGTTTCTCCTATTAACACCTTAGGGGAATGTTAGGTTCAGAACTAAATAAAGTGTTTGGGGTGGGGAGGTGCAGTGGGTGGTCTTTTGATTTTTGAGGTTTTCTCTTGGGGGTACCTAAGATGAACTTTATTTAGAATACTTTGATTTGGCCGGTTTTTATTCTACTTTTGGTCTGCCTGGAACTATTTCCATATGGTATAAAAGGCAAGTGTAGTATTCCATTACCATGTGGGATTTAATTGTTTTTAAAAATCAAACATGTTGGCTGGGACTAGACTCCCTAGAATCTATCAATGGAAAAGTAATGTTTAAAAATGCTTTTGGTAATTCAAATTACAATTTTAAAAGTGCTCAAGACTGGTGTTTCCTAAATGCTTTTGTTTATTCCAGAATCATTAAGGTAACCCGGTGCCAAGTACGATTCTTATAGATTATTCTTAAAAAACAAAATCAAGATTTAAATTTGTATTTGTACCAAAAAACTAATCATAAATGCTAATTCTCAGCCATCTTTTATGCTTGAAAGAAGAGTAGTTGGTATTTTGTAAATGTTAGCAGACTTTCCTGCCTGCGTCAGAAAATCCTATTTATGAATCCTGTCGGTATTGCTTGGCGTCTGAAAAAATATCAAATAGTACCCATATATTAATTCTTTCTAAGTGTAAAAAGTAAAATAATGAGAAATTGTGTCACACGGAGTATAAAACGCAGGTTCTAGAAAAATGTTTTCCTTCATTTCAGAATATTTTTTACTAATAATGGCTTTGAAAGAAGTGGCTTAATTTTGGGGGGGGTAATGAAATCAGAAATTATTGGCTTGAGTCTCTTCTGTGAGAAAATTTAATTTGTTTATATGAAATAAGCAACAAAAGGTTAGTTTTAGTTACACAGCTTCTGTTAATATTAAGAATTTTTTGTCTGCTTTACCTCAATTTGAACAAATAAGTTTGCCTGTATGCTGGGCATGCCTCAGTACACGTGAATAGCCAATGAATAATGTCTACTAGCTTTAGGGAACGTGGATCTCAGAGTCATGTTAGAATTCTAAAGTGTTCCTAAATCATGTCCTTACAAATACCCCCAGTCTTTTGAGTACTGGGCTTATTAAAGACACACATGTAGGACTAGTACCTACTGGCTGTTCCGTTTGCGGAAATAGATCTACTCTTGGCCTTTGGTCATGATTTTAAAATATGTAGAAAACAACAAAGAATTGGGTGGACTCTTTCATAAAACAGTGAAAGAGCATCTATCATTTGTCCCTTGAGGGTAGAATTTGTTTTTTATTTCATAATTCTGCTAGCAAACCTGACAGTTAAAATGGTGTATTAATATATATTATAATTTAGAAACTTCATTTTATGATTTTCCTATTCCAGGGTAAAATAATGCACTTAATAATTTGGGAATTGGGTGGAGTGTTATGTTTAATTAGAGTTGTTGCCGGGAATGAATCCCTCAGAAATTAAAAAAAAAAATCTGTTTTAAAAGAGGTCCGGTTTTTAGCTCTTGAAACCATTGTTAAATTTCCAATAATTAAAATTCTTTATTTTTAAATCAGAATTGCCAATGCCTTGACTTTTGAGAAGGGTTTATTAGAAATAGGTCCTACCTTTAAACTTTTTTCTTTAAAACATGGTATTGGATGTTAACTTTTACATAGTTCTGAGCACTGTTAATATCTGGAATGTATCTTGAGAGATCATTGGAAAGCTAAACATGCTAAATTTAACATGAATATACTTTTTGATTCATAAAATAAAATCAAATTTTTCAAAATAAAAAAATTTATCCAATATTACTATCTAATCCACAAACCTCTTTCAAAATGTCTCTTTTTTCTCCCAGTAATATTTTTTATAGGTCCAGGATTCCTCCCACAATGACCTATGGGATTTAGTTGTCCTGTCTCTTTGGTGTCCTTTAATCTGAAACTGTTCCTTAGACTTGCCTTGTCTCTCATGACCTTGACATTTTCCAAGAGTACCAGCCAGTTTTTCTGATGTTTCCTCATGATTTATGCATTTTGAGGCCAGGCAAACCTCAAAAGTGATGCTGTTTTGAGGTATTTCTACCCCCCAAATATGTACATTATGATGCAAAAGAGCTTTCTCTTCTCCATGTATTTATTTTATTTTTTTAATTTTTTTTTACTTTTTTATTCTTTTTTTTATTTTCCTGACAATTCAACAATGGGGCACATGTATTTCTTCATTTATTTATTTATGTATGTCATTAGGGATATATATATACTCATGGACTCCTATTTTACTGACGCGGTTACCACCTATACTGACATTAAGTATTCTGATGTTTAGTTTCAGCCAGTGGAGTCAGCTTTCCTGTCCAGTTGAAGTCCCCGTCATTCTCATAGAATGACGTCCTTATTTTCTAGTACAAGATGTTTTAGACTCACCTTGTATTTTCCCTGCCCTGGCCCTGCAGCCAACCATTTCTCCAAGGAGCCTTAGTTCCTTTAAGTGGAAAATAGTTCTAAAAACCAAGTTCTGGGTGCTGGGTGTGCTCACTGGTACTGGGGTGTTACTGTTTCTAAACCCTCAAAGAAGCCAAAGCTAGAAGCCGTGTGTATGCACACACGCACACATACATCATCTGTCTATTGTGTGCGTGTGCTCCGTTTGTCTGCACACAGCGAAGCCTACACGCTCACACTAATATCTCTAATTCCAGTCCACCTCAGAGTTATTCTAGCATTTTCTCCTTTCCCCTTTCCGCATTTTCTGTTTCCCTTCTCTGAGGGAAAGACCTGACTTTCAGCACACTCAGTGAATTTTCTTATCTGCTCAGGCTCCCCCTGTGTGCAGCCAAAGCCCACGGGCCAAAAGCTCAGCGCGGATGGCTCCATCTCACCAGCCCCTTCCCATCCCTGGTGCTGCAGGCGCCATGGAAATAGTTTCCACGGGCCAGGCGTGGCTCACGCCTGTAATCCTAGCACTCTGGGAAGCCCAGGCAGGCGGATTGCTCCTGAGCAAGAGTGAGACCCTGTCTCTACTATAAATAGAAATTAATTGGCCAACTAATATATATAGAAAAAAAATAGCCGAGCATGGTGGCCATGCCTGTAGTCCCAGCTACTCGGGAGGGCTGAGGCGGAGGATCGCTTGAGCCCAGGAGATTGAGGTTGCTGTGAGCGAGGCTGACGCCAGGGCACTCACTCTAGCCTGGGCAACAAAGCGAGACTCTGTCTCAAAAAAAATAAATAAATAAAAGAATGTCCTCCAGGAGAGGAAAATTAAAAGGAAAAGAAGGAGGGAAAGACTCACAGATTTTGTATTTATTCAGTGTGTTATAATTCATTTTTGGCATTATGCATTTTTATGTTCAAATTGTTCCATAATCGGTCAGTGAATTCCCTTCAGCCTGGCTCCTGTGTCCTATTGCTAGGTCCCTGTGACTTTCTGAGCACATTTTTACTTCACAGCACAAGAGGTTCAAGACTCACGTTGGAATTTCTTTGCCCCAGGCTTGGAGTCAGATGTTTCTCCAACTTCATGTTAGCGGGAAATGGTATCTAAAGCCAGGATCTGAGCTGCAGGTGAACTCATTGCTTATGAGCTGTCCTTGCTCCTAGACCTTTTTAGAGCCAGCAAACATATATGAAAAATGTAAAACTATACGTGGTAGCTGATCCCTCTAATCCACTCCCCTCTTTCTCCTATGCCAGTTTCTTTCCCATGGCCCACGGTGGGGCCCCCTAACTCCCGGCAAGATTAATGTATTTTTTTACCCATTTGCTCAATCCTAATAATGCACACCAATGAGCCTTGGAATTGAATTGCCTCTTTTCTTTAAAGAAGACCATACAGGTACATATTTATACAGGAAAGACCCCTCTCCTCCCCATCCCCGCTGCGCTTGGGGACGTGTTGGACCGTGCGCTCCCGGGTGTCCCCGGCGCCGCCGGGTCTCGAGGGCGCCTCACGGCAGGCCCGGGGCGGGGGCCCACGGCTCGTAGGGCTGCACCCACGCGTCGCCGTCGCCGTCCCCGTCCTCGGGGGC